AAAACCAGAAATACAAATTTTGAGCGTTGATATTATAGTTCCAGGGGAAATTACATTCACTAATAATCCGTCTCCAATTAAACCAAAAACTGAGGAATACCGAGCTGTTGAAAAGCTGGTAACTCGAACCGAAAAATGTGAAACGATAGCATGTAGCGACAAATCCCAATATGCAGCTGACAGCACCAGTGAGTATCCTGCAACGTCTTTTAGTGANGGATATTCTTATTACCAAAGAAGATGTTGAAGCAACAGTTTCTGGCAATATGCAGCTGACAGCACCAGTGAGTATCCTGCAACGTCTTTTAGTGAAATCAACTATACTCCAGAAGATACGCTAAATCAATTGAAATTAGAAGCTGCTACTGATAAACATCTGTTTGATTCGATAATGGTACCTCTTACTTAATTAAATGTTTCTGTTTGGAAGTAATGTTAGTTTGTTTCCTTTCAGCAAAATAGTTTAAACGATACGGCCCAGTTAAATTGCAATATTAACCAGGTAATTTAATACGGTTTATAATTTGGGAAATTAATACCAGTTAATTTTATTTTAGTCATCATTGATTGACGGAAACAGTTCATTGGATGAGAGCATACCCTCTACCGCGGTAAGTTGTATATAAGCTAACAGTTGCAATTGTTAAAATATTTTCCGTTTACAGACTGAGGAAGAAAGGGAAAACTTTGTGCTTCTACGATCTATAGGGGTAAGCAAACAACTAAAATTTCCTATGCTAAAAAATATATCGAGCCGTAACCGATAGTGTGCTAGTGTGTTGGTGAGCACAGAGTAATCGTAATGCACTGTGGTGAAAAGAGTAAAATTTAAAGACCAAATGTGTTAACAGTTCAATGTGTCATACAGTGCCGGTCAAAAATGGATGAATGGTGCTTCGTTTTTAATATCTACAATGTTTTTCAAGCTCTTTTTTATATTTTTTTATAATAATAATATTATATTATGGTTCATATATATATATATGTATTATATTGTGGTTCATATATATATATATATATATATATTATATTATGGATCATGCTTTAACAAAAACCGTATAAATCACACTTTCACTTTCAAACTTTATAAACTCCCCAAGTTTTTATCTAAATTTTGATCTTTTTAATCAGATTTTATTTTTTTTTATTTTTTGGGTATCTATGCAGCTAATGGGATCATAAAATAAGTGCTAGTTTTGAGCGGTTAAAAGATCGCATTGATTTTGAATAATTTTTTTTTGCTGACGGCTTTTTCGGTTTTTTTTTTATATAAAAAGCGAAATTTAGGAAAACTAACGTTGACCTTTTTTTCGCAAAAGTCTTGCGCATATTCTTCCACAAAAAATTCATGCTTCTGTGAAAAAAAGTCTGAAACGCCGGCAAGAAAAAGAAAATATTAAAAATCAATGACATTTTTTAGCCGCACGAATTTTAATAAAATTTTATAATCCTGTTAACTGCATACCCAAAAAATTAAAGAAAAGCTCGAATTTTATGTAAAAAATTTTGGAATTTTTCTAAATTCTATATAAAGTTTGAAATTGTTATTTACATGGTTTTTGTTAAAGCATGAACCATATTTTTATAAAAAATATCAAAAAAAAATTTTAATCATCCCGGGATCTAGATGTGGTGTTATATTTATGAGCTAGACATTTATAAAAAAATAATTATTAAATGAAAAAAGAAATATAGCCAATGCTGGTCAAGAAAAGGAATTTCTAATATTGCCATCAGTGCAAATTACAAATCCCGAAAATCCCGGAATTACTTGCCAAGAATCCCGGGATTTTCTAGACCTTGAAAAGTCCGGGATCCCGGAATTAACATTCCTAGTATGCATGTATATATTTTTGATTTCTGAATAGTTCCGTGCTCACGAGGATAGCAGCTTAATACTGAAAATAATATTACTATATTTGATTCGTTATTTAAATATTCCTTTAGTTTTATGTTTCTTGTAGTTACGTATTAAAGAATATTTTGGTCTTGAAATACCAATGATCAAATAATATGATGAACACAGTGACCAATTTTGACTCTTTAGTGATCTTGTTTATTAGTATATTAACTTTTATTTGCAACAGTATCAAGTGACGTTTCACTTATTAATTCCCAGCCAGCACATTCTATCATTAGCGACTCTAAAGGCCAGTTTGTCAATGCAGGGTTAATCTGACTTTGGTTTAAACGCTAGTTGTTGTTTAAATAGTATACAAATTCGCCAACGAGTTTTTGGGGCGTGATGTTGGAGCGACAGTCCTTGGCCAGATATAAATCTGGGTCGTTCTGTTTGAGTACACCCGACTGCCGTGGGTACGTTTTGAAGAAAATCGATTTTCCAGTTCCTGTTAATGAATCTTAACTCATAATAATACATACAGCTCGCGACAGAACAATAGCACCTCAACATTTTGACTATTTATCTTTTGTTTGTTTAATTCTCATTATCTATAAAGTCTAGTCCATAAGCGATAGGAGATGCTAAGATTGTATGGGAGGTTCCGCGCCCCCTTTCCCACTATCTGCCAATTTTCGCCATAAGTAGGGTATTTACAATTTATGCATATGTGCCAAGTTTCAGCTCCCCAACGTAGTTGGTTTAAGAGATAATTGGTGCCCTGAAAAAATGGGTTTCAACATTTTATTTTCACGTATGTATATGTGTAGATATCCATCATTCTCCCACTGTATAAGAACATTAGGAATATTCCGATCCCAAGGACCTCCTAACCTGTAATTTTTTAGCCCAAATATTCCTTTAAATTGGCTAACAAATGATCCAAATATGAGCCAAATCTGTAAATATATGCAGTTTTTAGAAATATTACGGCCCCGCGCCACCCAGCTATTAAATTTTTAGTCGGAATATTTCTCTTCAAGGTGCTGACATATGATCGAAATATGAACGAAATCGGTCCAGCCGTTTGGTAGTTTAGTGACACACAATATACGGAAAACTCTATGACATTGTGAAATCGTGACGTCTGAGATTTCTTAATTTTTTGGTAAAAATAAAAAAAAGTTTTGAATCTTTTTTTTATTGAAAAACCTTCCACACAGAAGATCCAAAGAAGTAATTTTTACATAATTGAAATCGGTTCAGTCGTTTGGTCAGGCATCGCGGTCATACGAAAGCAATTCCATTTTTATATACAGTGCCGGAAAAAAGTATTGGCACATTTTTCTCAATATATGCAAAGTCTTTTATTCTTATTTATTTTCAATATTTTTTAATAAAAATAAAGTTCATACTTCTCCAACAAACATAAAAATAAAATCTCAACTTTGTGCAAATCTCAGGAAAATTCAATAAATTTGCATCTAATTTGCAACTTTCTATTCAGATTTGTTAGACAGATTCTAAGTATGCAGTTTTATAGCCAATTTAATTCTAGTATAACAAAGTGCAAAATTGAAGTATCTAAAAAATCGCGTTGATTTTTGGCAATTTTTTTAGTGGAAGATGAGCTCATTTTCTCTATACAAATAATAATTGCCGATTTGTATGGAAGAACCTGAGTGAAAAAAAATTGCCACAAATCAACGCAATTTTTTAGCAACTTCACTGTGCTTATTTTACTAAAATTGGATGAGCTGTAAAACTGCATACTTAGAATTATTTAAAAAAATCCGAATAGAAAGTTGCAAATCAGTATGCAAATTTATTGAATTTTCCTGAGTTTTGTACAAAGTTTATGTTTTTTAGAGTAGGACGAGCTATATTTTTATAAAAAATTATCGAAAATAAATTGGAATAAAATACTTTGCAGATATTGCGAAAAATTCTCTGATAGATTGTTGTTTTTCCACAATACTTTTTCATAGAAAACGGTCTCAAAGATCAATAAAAATTGTTATTTATAAGCCTATAATTTTTTAAAAAATTGTGCGTAAATATTTTCATTTTTGTATCTCTTTTTTTAAGTTAAAAATCATTGCGGATGCCAATGCGGAAGACGGTTTGAAACTAGAACATTTAGAGACTATGCGGTCAAAGGCGAGCGACTTTGCAAAAATATATATCGACTTCAAGTATCTCTGGAAAGTTGGTAGCGGAATTAAGAGTTATGAAGAATTGGAGCTAGATTTCAATAAGCTAATGCATCGCATAAATGAGAAATTTGAACTTGAACTAACAATTGCTCACACGAAACGCATTATTAATCTCATTTCACTGTGGTACATGCAAACCTATCACAAATGGTTGATTGACAAGAAACCTGCAGTAGATCCTATTTGCCATTATTTACATCTCTTTATGTACCTTCCAAAGACCGCGCGGCGCATCTTCTACTGCGAGGAGTGCCCACGTTATTTCCTCGCTCAACAAAAATACCTTTCTCACCGTGAAAAACACATGGCCATAACGCCGTCTTGCCCATATTGCCAAACAACTTTTGATAGCCGTGGAACACAGCTGCTACACACTACAATTTGCAGTACATTTAAATGCATAGAGTGTGCAAATACATTTGAAAACGCTGCGAGTTTGGAGTACCATGTGCGCAGCAAGCACTTGCTTCAATGCGAAAAGTGTGGAAAGTTATGCTCTAATGCAGCAGACTTAGACTGGCATGAGCACCAATATCCTATAGTTTGTGGCCTATGCAATCGACTTTTCGATACGCCGACGGATTTACAAAAACACCGCCAAGATTCCTTTCATTGGGACTACACCTGCCGGACATGTGAAGTGTTTTTACCCACAGCCACTCAAATGAAGCAACATCTATCGGTTTGTAGCGGTAACTAAGCTCAGTCATATATGATTTTCACGATTAAATGAATACTATTTAAGTGCATGAAAAAGTTCAGTATTTTAGTTCTAAGTAGAAAAATGAATTTATTTTTAAAATATTATTTACAATGGGTTGGTTTTTTTTTTAACTTAATAAAAGTATGTAATGAAGAGCATGACATTGACAACCAAAAGCTCAGATCATTTTAATTGTCGATATAAAATGTCATAAAGTTACAAACAAACATTTTCGTCTTACCGTTATAAGTTTCCCCCGGCACATAGCCGTTGGGGCCCTCAGCAACTATTAGTCTGTATCCATTGTCGCCGCGTGAACGTCTTCCGTGAGGTAGGTGTGTTGGTGCACGAGAACAACATGCCGCCAATTGAATTGCCACTAAACACAGCAGTAAAACTGTCAAGGCACACTTTGTGAACAAATGGCACTGCATTTTCATACGTTATTTTTCTCGTTCAATTTTTTCCACACAGGCATTTACATGCATGTATACATTAATATTTAATTGTTTGTATGCTGTTATGTTGTGATTCACTTATTTAGTTTTATTTATTTCGTGTGAATTCTAAAGTACATACATATACAACTGTTAAAATATTTACTTGCAAAAAGCTTTCACGTTTTCTTTAAGAACACCGCAGATGCGACTTAAAATAGTAATGAGGTATCATCTACACTTTGAAAGCTATAAGCGGTGGTCACGCTTAACGCGTTAAACGGTTACTAGATATTATGTGATTCTCAAGCTTTGATTAAATGCTTCTGTACCATTCGGTGTATGCGCTCAGACTGAATGCCTTGGAGATGAGTATGAGCAAAGATGATCCGTCATCTGGGACTGGAAGATGGCCGATGCTGTATTCATTAGTGCGTATGTAAGTATAAATATGCATGCACTTGAAGCGGTCATTGTATGCGAACATAGACAGATAGACATATGTAAATACATATGTATGTATAAGAATTGCTGATAACATAATTTATTGGAGCGGTTACTTATGTATATATATGCGCTTCTATAACGAAGATGCTACTGGAATAAAGAGATGGCGTTGATAAGAGCAATACGTACATGCATACGTTTATTCGAGATTTGTTGTAAATATATGAATATATGTGCTGTTTACGAAAGCGTGTAAGCCTTTTTCTCATGTATAAGCCTTTATTAAAAGAGTACTCACTTTAATTAACTTTTTTGAGTTATAGTTATGGCTGACTTCCAAAACGTCAATTGCTATGCATACGTACAAAGTATAATGTTCCATAACGTCGAACTACAAAATATTGACAATGTATGTATACGCATTACAAAACGCATCCGAAAAGTTATCGAAACGCATCGCTAGGGCAATCAGCGCATCAGAAACAAAGTTGATGTTTCGTTTGTTATTGGTTAAAAGTGGTGCTTTATAAATGGGAAATTCAGAAAAATGTTTCATTGCTATATTGAATGTTTAAAATATGCAATGTATATGGTTGCAATGGACCGCAACTCTGCATATAAAAACAGTTTGAAGACTACGTAGTATAACAGTATGCAAACATGGAGATGAGCCTAGTTTTATTGATCATTATGTAAATTATAAAAAAAAATTATTTGTAAAGGGATTTCAAGAATGTACATAGTACACACACATCCATTCACATACTTACGTATGCATGGATGTATAAAAGATTATTGTTTGACCCTTGGGATCAAATTTAATACCGATAAGCCCGGAACATGGGTTTTAAAAGCGAGTGGCTGCTAATGGGGGGAAAAAATTAAAGACATACAAATCACTCGTTTGCTGAAAGAACATTTTAATAATAAAAAGTAGGATTAAGCATGAAGGGCGGGCCACAGTCCTTACATTTAAGCACGGACCGTAACGGTTATAATTTTTATTACAAAATTAGTTTTTAATGATTACACAGTGCAACAGCGTTTTTGGGGCGGAATGATTCCAACTCAGGATGGAAAAACTTGACCCATATAGTAAAACTCCCCTTTTGCATTATCAGGTAAAATTTTTTTATGGCCATATTAAGTTTGCAATTTTTTGCCTGAGTGTTTCTAGAATAAGTGGAAAAGGAGTTAAAATTCATATCCCACTGGGAAAATAGGTAAGCACCTTACGAGGTAAGCCATGTTTTCTTTCAGTTTTTAGTACCAAAATTGTCATCATGGCCAATGTCATCTACTATTTAGTAAAGCGCAAAATGAACACCGACGACACATTACGTTATCAGTTGCAAAATAACGTGCAGCCGAAGTAATTTCCAAGCGCCGAACTACTCCGAGCGACTGCTCTGCATTTTGCGTAACTTACTTTGTAAAGCGGCTTAGAGGTATGTCTGATACCAAATGTACATTCTTAATTCCTACTTACATAAGGCGGCCACTTCTTTGTTAAAGTAATGGAGATTCGGCAGGGAAGTGGTAAGGATCACCAGGTGAAGGGCAATACCTTACCAGCAACTTACATTTCACCCGGCTGGGATTCGAACTTGCGACCTCGCGGCTCGTTAATCCGCGTTACTGCCGTATGTCAAGGCAAAATTTTGATCAGATCAATTGCGGCGTTAATCCGGATTAACGTTGCCGTCTGTCTATGCTTTTAGTAATTCACCACCTTAATCTGTATTTGCGCGTGCATACAGGCGAAAATGTTTTCGCTCACGACCGTTTTCTTAAGTATTTACAGCGGTAAAATACAATCGCAAAACGAGCTAATATGAGAAGGTCGTACTATTAATCGTTCGCGGCCAAAATTTTCCGCGACCTGCTTTTTAGCTAAATTTTTTACCTAACGTGCTAGATTTGACCGTAACAAACAAAATTTTCAATATGTTTCAACTTAAATAGGTAATACACATATTCTGAATATAAACCAAATCGGAGCACAGATGCCGATTTTTTTAATTATATAGACACACACACATAACTGCCAAAATTTTTTGTGTAGTTATTTTTTTTTTATGTAAGCAATATGCATTCTAAATGTGAACTTAATCGGATCATAAACACGGTTTTTACAAATATCTCGACTCCTGCGCCACCTATCATAAAAATTTTTTGTGGATTTATTTCTTTTCATACAAGTAATATATGTTATAAATATGAACCAAATCAGACTATAAATGCGGGTTTTAAAAATATCTCGACTCCTGCGCCACCTATCATAAAAATTTTTTGTGGATTTATTTCTTTTCATACAAGTAATATATGTTATAAATATGAACCAAATCAGACTATAAATGCGGGTTTTAAAAATATCTCGACTCCTGCGCCACCTATCATAAAAATTTTTTGTGGATTTATTTCTTTTCATACAAGTAATATATGTTATAAATATGAACCAAATCAGACTATAAATGCGGGTTTTAAAAATATCTCGACTCCTGCGCCACCTATCATAAAAATTTTTTGTGGATTTATTTCTTTTCATACAAGTAATATATGTTATAAATATGAACCAAATCAGACTATAAATGCGGGTTTTAAAAATATCTCGACTCCTGCGCCACCTATCATAAAAATTTTTTGTGGATTTATTTCTTTTCATACAAGTAATATATGTTATAAATATGAACCAAATCAGACTATAAATGCGGGTTTTAAAAATATCTCGACTCCTGCGCCACCTAGCGTATAAAGTCATCTTTTACATTGCATTGCCCTCGAGTTCTGAGCTAAGTTTGAAGTTTCAAGTCTGTAGCTCATCGGGAAGTTTGTTAAATATTGACTGCAAAGTTCCAGGACATACAAAGATACATACATACATACAAGTGAAGTTAAATAAAAGCTTGCAAAAAGTTGTTGCATATTTCAGGGATACATATTTTTTCTTCTGGTGGTGCTTGTGTTCGACGACTCTAATCATGAAGAATTAGAGGTAGGAAGCAGTAGTGCCAGTAACGGAGTCACATATATCGGATGATTACGATACTTATGACCAGGGAACGGATTTTATGGAAATTGCCTTTTTTTCTGCTAAAGAGATAGAGTATATTCGATTAAGAATCTCCTCGATTTAGCTTTCCCTGATTCCATATATACACATTTGATGTTGCCTTTTTTTTTAAGATATTTGCCTTTTTTGGCCTCTTTTAAGATAATTGCCTTTTTTTGCCTTTTCTATCTTTAAAAAAGTGATTATAGCATTTCGATGGCTGAGTGGAAGATCGACCTATCTCGGCAGCCAGTTCGAAAACGCTCTATCTCAAAAAACTTTTCAAGAACGCCCTATTTCAGAATTCGTTTCAAAAACGCCCTATCTCAGCTGCCGATTCAAAAACGCCCTATATCAGCATATTTTCAATACATTT